TGTGTGTGTGTGTGTGTGTGTGTGTGTGTGTGTGTGTGTGTGTGTGTGTGTGTGCTGATATCCTTGCACGGACCAAAAACCTTTGTTGTGAGGTCATTTAGGCAGGTCCTCACATTTTATAAGGCAATAGGTGGGTTAGGATTTGGTTTCAACGCACAAAGGGTTGTAGTTATGGTTCATTGTGATGGTTGAAGATTAGGATAGATTAGATTGTCAGTTAGTGCCCTCATAAATATAGAAAAACCAACGTGTGTGTATGTTTGTGGATATGCATGTGTGCAGGAGAGCAGGTCTGATCATGCTTTGATGTCTGAGCCCTGACAAAGCGAGCAGGATGAATGTGGGTCCTGTCAGACACAGGCACACAGTCACACACTCACACACAAATGTATTTCCATAATCTCTGTGGGGTTTACTTATTGACACTGAGCATTCCCTTAACCTAACACTAACGATCACAAGTGAATATTTAAGCTTAACTTTAATTACTTTAAACAGGAGGAAAAAAAATCTGATTACTCAACCAGTCTGAAAGTAAGAAAACAGACATAACTGACAAATCATCAAATCATATTTTAAATGTCCCTGAACTGTGAGGCATTTTGTACAGCGTAGAGCAACCCAATTCCTACATCACTACTGCCTCAAACTTGTTAGTTTCCATCTCACTACATCTTCTAGTAGCGGGTGGTGTTGCAATATCTTAGTAACACCAGTGAAGTTCTTTAACCGACTACCCTACAAATACACAATGTAATGCTTGAGTTGCAACATTACAAACTGGCGATGTTGCCAACTTTGCTTTGTGGCTGAAAAACAAGCAGACAGCACAGAAACTTTTCTACAATGTGTAGCCTAATTCTAGATGTTATTATTGTATTACCCTAATTAAATATTTCTACAATGTGTAACGCTACTGCAGTGCTGTACTACATACATATTCAGGATATCTTTTCCTTCTGTGGCTTCTCTTAATAACTTCAGCAATCAAGCTAAGTGGTTATATAAAGGTGGTTATCAATTCATAAATCAGCCCAGGTATTCCTAATCTTGGCTTGCATGTACAGATCTAGTAACTGTAGAACAATTTTACAAAGGAAGATAAAAGTATAACATTAGAAAAATACAGATGTTAAATATGTAATTCAGAATGAAACCAACAAACAAAGCTTCTGCACACAAATCAGCTGTGTGTGTCTGAGAGGAAAAATATAGTACTAAAAGTACTATATGCATGTGTGTGTGTCTGTAAGTGTGTGAGAGTATGTGTGCTCTGTGCACTTTAGTTAGTAAGACTGGAAAAGTGCTCTATAAATAAAGTTTATTGAAACGAGAAAAGAAAGTCAACAGACATGCCTACTCTGTATCAAAGTTAACAGACTGATTTGGATTACAGCCTTTTTGATATATGTGATAATTACAACTGCATGTTCAATTAAGTTGTATATGTGTGTGTGTGTGTGTGTGTGTGTGTGTGTGTGTGTGTGTGTGTGTGTGTGTGTGTGTGTGTGTGTGTGTGTGTGTGTGAGGCAGTTTTAGCATTGTTCTTTCAGCTGCAGTGGTCTAAGAACAAATGAAAGAAGCTGAAAAAACAACAAATACAAAAGCAAACATCAAACCACTTACCTACATTTTATATAAGACGGCAAGTAAAAGGCTTAAGTGCCCTGTTTTCACTTATAAAACAAGTTTAACCTTCTTTGCAGCCAACAGGAAAATATAGCAAGGAATAAAGTTGCTTATAAGAATTGCTGTCTCGTATTAATTTTTGTCAGAGAAAGTCAAAACTGTAAACTACCTCTAAAAGACCCCTCTTCTAACTGTGCACTTAGGACCACAGGCTTTTCCACCAATGGTAACGCCTTTTTCCACAGAACTGACTGGTCATTAAGCTGGTTTTGTACTTGCTGCTGTCTTATCTCGCGCATAACCTACTGTAGGTGTGCAGCATAAGTTGGCATGGGAATGTAGCCCCTATAAGAATTCATCTAAAAACTCGTGATTAAACCTGAAGTTATCTATTGGAGCCAACTCATCCTCTGGGCTTTACTTTTTTCTGTTAGTAATGTGAAACTTAAGCAGACATAGGAGAGCTTTTATGTATAGCAGGGGTGGGCAACTCCAGGCCTCAAGAGCCGGTGTCCTGCAGGTTTAAATATCACCCTGGGTCAACACACCTGAATCAAATGATTAGTTCATTACCAGGCCTCTGGAGAACTTCAAGAAATGTTGAGGAGGTAATTTAGCCATTTAAATCAGCTGTGATGGATCAAGGATACATCTAAAACCTGCAGGACACTGGCTCTCAAGGCCTGGAGTTGGCCACCCCTGATGTATAGGCTAGCATTTATTTGGCCGACTTGCAATGGATAAACAATGCATCATCATCAAATTGACTATTTACACACATCCCTGAAGTTTTATGCTCCCTGTAGTGAGACAAGTCCTCCAAGGTTGGTGTGCACTCAGGTTAAAGTCCCCACCAGGACATACAAATATGAAAAGCACAAATACACAATCACACCGTGGAGTCTGACCAGGAATTGTGTGGATCTCCAGGGTGGAGCTGTCAGTAA